TAAAATTTTACGTTCACCTCAGTGATACGGACGTCGAGCGTAAACACGTGTATGTCGTAAGAAATGCATTTCCTGCAGCACCTCTATTGATGGGAATCGCGCGATACCGCGTTATAGTGGCTCCATTAAGTCGCATAGATAAAAATTTATTCGCGTTCAAAAACAATGCATTCCTTTCGTCTTTGTGAACGACGCTCGGCTGACGTATTCGTCAGCGCGACTTTGCGCCTTTAATGCGCAATTTTGCCTCGTTTTACGCGCGCATCTCCTCGCTCGGATTCGAAGCGACACTTGATATTACTACGGTTAGATCGTTTACCGAAGGCTGAGCTCTTCATTGCTAAGCGAAGCGACATTAAATCTACTACGGACTATCTCGTGCATTGAGGCAAACAGGCATGGATGGGAGTTCGTCAAGTGAAGAGGGAACAATCCGTCTGTCCATTTCATCGAGATCATCGAAGCATTACGTACAACTTCTAGAAAACGACTATAAAAGATGCAGTTATCGAGCGAGAGAGAAAAAAGAATCCCAAAAAAGAAGAAGCAGCTCGCGTGCTTCTCCGAAGCATGTATCGATTATTTTCGCCTCGACCTTCCAATCGCGCGACTGTCTCGTGTAGCGAAATCGGTTCGATTCGCGAGCGCCGCGACTAACCCGATGACCCAAACGACGATGACGACGACGATGATCGCGGTCAGCGAGACCATCTACGTAGCCTGACGCAAGTTATACAGACACACAAGGTGCGGGTTATAATGTGCAAGCTATGCTCCTAGTGACGACCGAACAAATCGCGCGAGCTTGGCACGACCCTGATTGAGTGTGACTAAGCCGGGGCCGCCTACGTGTGATGCGATGTGTCGGTTACGGAGAGGCGCACACGCGTTTTCCCTCACGTCTCTCTCTCTCTCTCTCTCTCTCTCTCTCTCTCTCTCTCTCTCTCTCTCTCTCTCTCTCTCTCTCTCTCTCTCTCTCTCTCCCCCCTCCCCCCTCCCTCCTCTCTCTCTCTCTCTCTTTCTCTCTCTCCTTACGCTTCTTTCCTTTCATATCGCCCTCCTCTCTTCATCTTACGGCTCTGATCCGTTTCACTCGCTCCAGCATGCCGCGTTCTTCCCCGAGCGATCTCCAAGATAGAGAGACGCGCGTCTCGCCGTATCGGAGCCGTCACGGAAAAGTACTGGTCACACGTCTACCCGGTGGCATTCGATCGCGCTCGCGCGCGCGCTATCTCCCTTTTATTCACTTGCTCTCCGTAATTTCTCTCTTTTCCTCCTCCTCCTCCTCCTCCTCCTCTCTTCCTTCTCCGTCCTTCTTCCGCTCTATCTGCTTCTTCGCGGCGTGCCGTAGGCGAGGCCTCGATGACTCTCGCGGGCGGTACACACCGGAGAGTAATTCCTCGACGTCCCGAGAACCGGAGAAGAGAGGGGCATGGCTGACGCGGACCGCGGAGGAGGACCGCGTATCCGCACGCGGGATTGCGTGTCACTGCGCGAACAGCCGTGACCGAATGATTCTATCCGCTCGTTCGTGCGGCCAATGAGTTATAGTTGTGTCGTTGTTGTTGTCATCGTCGTCCTCGTCGTCGTTTTTCTCGTCTCGCTTGCGTTTGTCGCCTCACGCTCGAGACCTTTTCAGCCGACCCTTTGACTCTCGCGAGAGAGCGAGAAGGGGGAGACAGACAGACAGACAGACAGAGAGAGAGAGAGAGAGAGAGAGAGAGAGAGAGAGAGAGAGAGAGAGAGAGAGAGAGAGAGAGAGAGAGAGAGAGAGAGAGAGAGAGAGAGAGAGAGAGAGAGAGAGAGAGAGAGTGAGAGAGTGAGAGAGAGAGACACGTCGACGTATATTCGTTGCTGCGTGACGCTGCACGTCGATGAGATATGTAGGCTGCGTGTATTTTAGCTCCGTAGTTAAAAATAGTATCGACGGACGTGGATGACGTTTTGCCGAGAGAGAGAGATAGAGCGAGCGAGAGAGAGAGAGAGAGAGAGAGAGAGAGAGAGAGAGAGAGAGAGAGAGAGAGAGAGAGAGAGAGAGAGGTCAGGCTGAAGCGAAAAAGATCTTTATCGCAGTGATTTTCCTCTCCTCCTCCCGCCCGTATCGTCGCCGACGAGTTTCTTCTTTTTCCCCTTCTTTTTTTTCCTACTAGCCAATTGACGCCAGAATTTGTGATGCGACCGCAACGCGCATTTTTCCGGGATCGAGTTTCCATCTTTGTGTCGGCGTGACTCGCGTGCGCGTGACATTTCCGTCTCTACGCCATCCACATTTCCGCGATTATCCGCGTATGTATGCGTATCCGCTATTAATTGTGTTGCGGTACCGGAGTTTCTTTTTCTCTTTGAGCAACCGTGTCGATCTCCTGTAATTGGATCGAGCGTTTGAACGAACGATAATTATGCGCGACACGCGCCAGTGTTGATGCAATCGCCACGTGTGCTCTTTTAGAGAGAAAGAGAGAGAGAGAGAGAGAGAGAGAGGCGAGGCGGCGGGAGAGGAATGAGAGCGACATGTATGAAATTCAAACAACACTCAGAGCAAACGTAAACCCTCAACTGCGCAACATTGTCAAACATGAGTAAACGATTTCTCCGTGGTTGCGCGCACGCGATAACATGCCGTATTTACCGCTAGACAAATTGAAGCCGGTTTATCAGACAAGCGCGTTATTAAGCGCGTAAATCAAATACACTCGAAGAATCAAGATCCGGTTTATCTGGCGCGTTATATTTTTACGCGCTACACATACAGAAATATATCGGGACAAACTCGCGCGGTGCGCGAGGCGATACGAGACGACGTGTTCGACGGGCGCGACAGCGTGTTTCGGTGAGTCGCTGGTGGTCGGACGACTTCCTGGAAATATTTCGAATGTATCGTGTTAACGAGTAACGATCGCGTACGTGAGAAGAAATCGCGTTTGTCGAGGCTACACGCTGACGACCGAGTCTCGGTGTGCTCGCGCGTACACTAAAGACGCGCGATGCGCGCCAAATGCGCGTAATTGAAGCGAGAGTATTCCGCTCGCTCGCGACGAAACGCGACTGGCGAGATTAGAGCGGAATAGCGAGTGGCAGCGACGTGGCCAGACGCGTAATGAATAGCGCGGATCAGAGGAAAAGGAGAGAGAGAGAGAGAGAGAGAGAATAAAAGAAATCTATGGCGGATAAATAGATGGATGTATCTGTCAGAGAGAAATCAGATGAAGAAGGAAAAGATCCTTACCGAATTAAAAAAAAAAAGAAGAAAAAAATTACCTGCGTATTTTCGTTCTTTCGTAATCATTTTTCTTTCCTCATTATCGTTTCTTCTCTCCCTTTTCCTTTGAATTCGGGTCCAACAGTGTTGCCTCGCGCTACTTCACTATATCGCTTATTTTTTCACGATACAGAAACAAATTCTTTCTTTCTGTCGGCGACTTAATCTTCTGATTCATGAAGTGCAACGATCGACGCGTAGTCGAAAATCATTGACGGTACAACGCAATACGGTAACTTGGCCGTCGAGATGATGTACGCATTATCATCGTCGTCGTCGTCGTCGTCGTCGTCGTCGTCGTCGTCGTCGTCGTCGTCGTTAGCGGCATATCGTAGTTTTGTGCGTGCACGTGCACGCGGTATGCCTGGTAATCAATTCGACTGCTCCTTCAGGCGATTCGCCGGGTCGAAACAAAACATCGAAATGCAGCGTGTACTCTCACAACTGTCACGGATAAGGCCGACCTTTTGGTACGCGTCACGATACCCAAAAAGATGTTAATGAAAGTGTGTTAGGTAGTGAGTGAGATAAGTGAGATTATTGAGCTCGCCAAAAGCGGTGATACAACAATATAATTCTCTCCCTCTCTTTCCCTCTCACTAGAGAGAGAGAGAGAGAGAGAGAGAGAGAGAGAGAGAGAGAGAGAGAGAGAGAGAGAGAGAGAGAGCGCGTGTGTATTGTTCTTCGACGTATGAATAATCGACGGAAACTGTATCCAGCTCTGCCATCTCTCTCTCTCCTCGCTTCCTCTTCTCGGATGACGATGGCAAGTTTACCGTAACGATCGACATAATTAACACTTCTCGTGGCCGGAATCGATAACCGTCGCGGTTACGAGAGTTTTTCGCTCGTTCGCTCGACAGAGAGATTGATCCGGACTTATTTTGGTGCGCTCGATGTGCGCTTTTTATCGGGTTTCTGCTTAAATATACGGAGTGTCATTAAAAATACTTTGATACCTCCCGGAGTGAATGTCGCTGCTCATAAAAAACAGCAGTCGCGGCGGAGAGTGATTCGATTGTGCGCGACTCACGACGACCGAGTTTCCTCCTCGTTGAGAGAGAAAGAGACGCGGATTTCGATGGAAATCTAGATTCAAGGTTCGCGTTCGAGAGAAAATGGCCCGCTGTCTTCTGACGTAATGTGACGCGTCGGCGGGGGAGGGGAATACGATTCACTTATATTCACCTCGTCCCGTTTCTTGTAATCGTCTCCGCGCTCATACCATTATCGGCGTCGCGCAGCGAAGCGACACATTTATTTTTGTCGGCGAAGCGGCAATGAAGTCATTGTGCTGCATAGGCTGCGATTAGTGCAAGGGCTAACATTCCACGCAGATTGCGTGCGAAGCGCAAAAAGTGCCGGCAGGCAAGGACAATCTGAACTCGCGGTAGAATGCCGGTCGTCTCGTCGTCGTCGTCGTCGTCGTCGTTTTCGATCATTCTCGCGTCGTAGCGGCATCTGACCGACGCGTCGTTCTCAACAGTCGTGTCAATCCACTCCGTGGCTGAATCAGTCTCAAATAGAATCACGTGAGACCGATAGGCGATGCATTTATCGCTCGAGAACTTCCACGAACGAACTTTTTTTCAGTCACACTGGGAGCGTGGAAATTGGAACATTAATTGTAATATTCCCATCGAGGAGTCATTTCGCTACTCTGAAATATTAGCTCGTCCCTGTGACGTATATTCCGCTTCGAGAAATGTGTGTTTGACGATTGTTGTTGTTGCGTTTTCAGGTGCATACGTCGGACCATCTATTCCGTTGGCACCGGCTAATGTCGCGGCCAACGGTGGAGGATCGCCTCTTCGTCCAAGAACGAGTCCTCCACCACCGCCGCCACCGGCACAGGAAAGCGCCAATGACAATTCACAGTCGAATCATCATCAGGTACGTGTCAGTATTATTCATTTATTTACGGGACTACTTATTTTTACGGGAAAACCCATTAGCATACAAACAATATTCGGAATAAAAAACAGCAATTAGTAATAATAACAAGAGTAATATAATTATAATAAAGTTATTATTATTATTGTTGTTGATACTAGTTATTATCATGTTGATAGAACTGGCTACGAGTCTAGAGTCGTTTCTGCTTTGCTAAAAGATATCCGCTTGAACAAATCAATCACAGAGCCGACAATACGTCGGCTAATGATGAGGTTTTATTTTTGCCGTAGGGTTCAGCAAACGGTCCGTCACCGATGGCCGCTTTGATGTCAGTCGCCGACAATCTGACATCCCCGGAGCCAGTGCCACAGCCGCCGAATAATCCCAGTCCTACTAGCAGAAGTCCGCCGACCACTGCTGCGAATGCTCAACAACGCAGCGCCTCCAGAGGCTCCCAGCATAGCCCGAACAGTTCAGGTAAATTGACGACCATGATTACCCGTCTTGGGGATTGCTCGGTTGAGAGACGTCGGCAAGGTCGCGATATATAATGCTCAATGTTGCACGTCGATGATTCACAGGTTCAGGTAGGCGGTCCAGTAGTTCTAGACAGGTGTCATCGACGACTGTGACGACGTCCTCTGAGGGCGCGGTTGCCCAAGCTGCTGGCGCCGAACCGGTCTCGGCACCTACCCTCAAGTGTACGCTATGCCAAGAGCGCTTGGAAGACACGCATTTCGTTCAGTGTCCCAGCGTGCCGCATCACAAATTCTGCTTCCCTTGCAGTCGGGATAGCATAAAGAGACAGGGAGCCGGCGCGGAGGTGAGTGTCCCATTCGTACTTCTTCGTGTCCCTCTGACAGTCTCTAGTGAGATTTAGTTTGGCGATGATCGATATGTAACGATCGTCGCATGGCAATCTCATGATGGAGTAGATCTGCTCTTTATAACTGCACTAAGCTGTATTGTGTGCACTCGAAATGGAGTGAATATATTAGGTTGATTCAAAAAGACTCTTTGTGCATGGAGAATATAGAGGTTTTGCCGATGTGTTTCTACCGGGAAGATGCTTTGTTCATTTCAACGCTTGTTGTTTAGCGTTTATGAAAGAAAAGACTTTTGAATCAATCTATTGTATTAGTAGTTTAGTACATTAATATATGACATTTACATTAATGTATGACTGTTATCGTAATATTTATTTGACATCTGATGAATGAGAGAAGAAAGGAGAAAGATTTTACGAGGAGATAGCTTCAGCAGGCGCAGTTATGAAGAGAAGAGATCGAGCGATGGACGTTGTCGTACGACAACTTTTTCATTCTTCACGGATCGTGTTGCAGGTTTATTGTCCGAGCGGTGAGAAGTGCCCG